GGTAGGATAGAGATGTCTCTAACGCAGGGGTCCAGAGCTGTCGTTTGATCAAGAGGACAGAATTTTTACCATCGTTCCTGGATTCCTCGCCCAAGGCAGAAAAGGAGCAAGCAACAAGCAGAGGCAGAGACCCATCAGCACCCACCCTCCGAGGAGCAATCCCTTTTTGCTGGGAGAGGGCTGCTCCTGCTCAAATAGCTGAGCGTGTCGGAGCACATCCTCCTCCCCGGCGGCTGGGGAAAGGCACTCGAGCAACACCAAAAAACCAAACGCCTCTATTAACACCGCGAGCCCCCAAAACTTGCCGAGGCAGCTGGTTTCTCAGGATGTGCTTCTTGGGGGAGCACGGATGGGGAGAGATGTCCCCAGGTGTTACAGGAGGGCTGCAAGAGCAGCTCTTCAAAGGCAGGCAGGTGCCACGAGGTTGTCTGGCCTCCCACGCTGCTTTACCAGGCAGCTGAGCGCTTTCCAGGCAGGCACAAGCGACTTCAACATCAGTAAATACAACCGGGACAAAACCCGCGCTCCATCTGCAGCGCGGGACCCAGGCTGGCGACGCAGCACCAGGAGCTGGCTGATGTGCACACCCTGACCCTGCCCGCAGCACCCAGCGACGCTCCTCCGCACGAGCACGCTTTGCCCATGCTCTTATGGGGTTTCTGCAGCTCCTTTGGCTGGTGGTGCGTCAGAAACGACCTGCTACCCTTGAGGCTCAAGCCAAAAAAGGGGCCCTGAAGGTACCTTGGTAGCATCTAGATGACCACAGGACCTCAACATCTCCCTAGCCGGCCTCAAAACAGCACCAAGCACGACTTTGCTGCAGCTCCACACTTCAGTAACCACGTTCAGATCCACTGTCTCAGCGCAGAGCCAGCACAAGGTCTGGGAACAAGAAGATGCTCCAGGTAAGCTCAGGGTTATGTACAGCCTTGTCCTCCTGCACTGCACCAAGAACAGGTCAGATGGAGGTCTAAGCACCCAAAAATCAATACCCAAAATGCTGTGGTTTGGTTACAGCAGGGATACGTTCCCAGCAATGATGACCGAAAAAGAGTGGCCTGCTGGGAAGATGCTGGGAACTCATAGGTAGGGTAGGCGGTTGGGTAGGAGGGACCAGGGTTTCACCTTTGGCTGCTCCCCCTTGCACCCAGCTGCTGGAGGATGGGCAGAGGGACACCCAGTCTGTCCAAGGCAAAGCCAGGACCACCAGGCACCCGTTGAACGCATCGACAGCCTCTTTTAGGAGGGTGCAGCCAGGCTTCGGACCAGCTGAAGCTCCACGGGGCCTTCCCTGCGCAAGCAGGTCATCTCCCACGGATCTCCTCCAGCGTGAGACAGGCACAGCTCTCACCGGAGGGAAGGTCCGCAGCACCCTCGCAGCTCTGGAGGGGAGAAGGGCTCTGCACTGCACCAAAACGGGCACAAGCACCTTCAGGCGGGAGCCTAGACCCTGCCAGCTCCTCCATCTCCAACAGTTACCAGCCAGGTGGATTCCCCCATCTAAAACTCCTCTTCTCCCTTCTCCAGCGCCCAGCAAAAGGCGCGATGCTACAGCCTTGCCCCGGCCCACGTCCTCCTGCCGGGGGCCAAGCCCTTCCCCAGCGGAGGGGACAGGCGCTGGGTCCCTGGGGATGCGGGGTGACGGAGCCCGAGTCGTTGCACAGTTGTCCGTCATTCAGCTGGCCACGCAGACATCGGTCAAACATGCCACGTGTACTCAGCTCAGCCTACACATAAATACTGCTCCCTCCCATATTTCATTATCATTTTTGTTTTATTTTGTTTTTTTAACCTCTTCCTTAAGGTCTCCACGCCCCAGGATGTAAGGAAGCACGTCCGCACAGCAGTTATCCATGCTACTGCCTTGGCTGTCCTGCCAAGCTCAGGCCAACACTGAGCAGACTCGCCGCTGGAGTTTTTTTTGTGCAGAGATTAGAAAAAAAAAAGTTAAAAAGTGGTCTTGACCTGCCCCGTGACATTCTTCCCACGGATCGCGTTTCCCAACCCCTGCCTCCCCCAGCTCCTCCCAGAAATTCATCTCTGCAAGCGGCGCAGCACGGAGCTGTAATTTTAAAGGATGACTAAGTGTCAAAACACCAGCAGCTGATTAACAGCAGCTCACTGAAGCTTCATTTCTAGTTAAGTGCAAGAGTTGAAGCTATATTTTTTTTTCTCCCCCTGCCTCTCCAAGCCCTACCTTGCATTTTTATTTACGCTTTTCACATCCCTGACGAGCTCCCCTGGCAGAACTGCAGCCCCACGCCTCCCCGCGGGGCGGCAACGCCAGCCTCCAGCCCGCCGTGCCTTTACGCGGCGCTCGCCTCGCACATCCCCGCGCCCCAAACCCACTCCTTTTCCCCCGCGGGAACCAGGCGGAAGGGCCAGAGTCCACCCACACCCCGTTCCTCGCACAGGCGGACCGCAGGCTGCGCCGTGGCGGGAGGTGTTTCCTGGTCAGTGGGTTAAGCGTAACTGGTTAAAAAAAAAAAATAAAATAATAACCTGAGCTCTTCAGAATTACAGATATAAACTCCCCTGAGAGCTCAGATCAGAGATAGCCCCAGCTGAAATTGCTGCGAGTGTATCGGGGGTTTCGCGGAGGGCTTCGTCAGCACTTGTTCCTGCGGTGGTAGCTTGCAGCGTGAAAGATAAAAACAAGGAACAAAAAAAAAAAAAAAAAAAAAAAAAAAGAAAGAAAAAAAAAAAAGGAGGGGGGTGGGGAGATTTGAGTCGATGAGAAAAAAAACAGGAAGCTGCCAAAAAGCGTGTCGTCACATAGGCAGCAAGGAAATATCAGTAAAGGCAGCGCCCGGCGGTTCTGTCCTTCCCACAGGGCACGAAGGACGGTCTGGGGTGCGGGCCGGCGCAGGAGGTGCAGCCGCAGCTGCAGGGATGGAGGAGAAACCAGCCCGCAGCGAAAGCCCAGGGTGCTGCCCGGTTTTCGGGGCAGTCAGTGCACCTAAACCCTGCATACAGGCCACAGGATTATTTATTGAACCGCTAGATTTCCTCTCCCCACGTCATGTTCTTGGTGGTTTTCAGCTTGAGAAAGCAGCACAGCTATTGAGGCACTTGTTTAGGTGCGAGTGGTTTGCAGGGAAGGCAGACTTCAGTTACCAGGACCTCTCGTTTCCCAAATTCAGGGTAAACGCCAGCGGATTACCTCGGCTTACCTTTTGCCACCAGCCAAGAGGGCATTAGCACACAGCAGTTCCCTTTTTCAAAGGGCTGAGAAAGTTCAGCTACACTATTGGAAAATAAACAACTAAGACAAAATCAAGTTATCGGCTCGCCAGCCTTCTAGATCTCGTTAAAAACACACATGCAACTCCGGCGACAGAAAAAGGACATTCAACAAGTAAAGCAAAAGCTCAGAATCATCTCAGCCAAATTTGTGATTCAAACATTTCCTGCAGAGCAGATCTGGCCCTAATTTGCCTTGCAAAGTTACGTTTGGATCCCGATAAAACGTGCCGTGGTTGGATAGACGGACAAAGAGCTACAGAATCCTGCGGGCAAATTGATCTGGAAAGCAAACTTTTTGCCCCAAAAGCCGCCTCCCCAAAGGCATCACTCCCGTGTATTTCAGGAGACGCCCCGTGCCCACACCTGGGGGGAGCTTCGTGCACCAGGACAGAGGTGGCTGGGGACGGGAGCTCCTGCTCAACACCTTTGCTCTCTACATACAACCTCGGTGAAGTTTCATCACCCGCAGGCACGGGAAGGCTTTTTGCTGAATCTGCCACAAGACGAGAGCTCACGAACAAGCGCTCGTGGAAAAAGTGATTTGCCAAGTCGACGGTAGTGACGCCAAAGACTTGGTATGAAACCGCATCACCTCTCCAGGCTGCTCAGCAGCGGTTAAAAAGAAGCAGTCCCCAGCCTGAAAGTCAGTCGGAGTAGAAAAAGTGATTTTTTTCAGAGATTTAGCGGAGCAATTCCGAATTCCAGTCTGGGAGCAGGAGCCCATCGATGCCAGCTCATCGCACGGTAAAGACAGCCCAGGCCTGATGCTTCTCATCGGCGGGCAACCGCACGCCGCATCACCCCGCCACGCAGCGTATCGAGTGGCAGGGCTGGAAAGCAAGAGCTATTTATTCATTATTCATCACCATTTCCAAGATCTCTAGCTCCTGTTTCAGCTTCAGCCCGGACCTCGTGCCCCTTCCGGCACGAAACCCAACCACGGCACCTACAAACAAAGCTCAGCGTCGGCGCTGGTTCTCCAGAACCACTCCCAGCCCCGAATCCACGTGGGCACTCCTCAAGAAGGGATGGGTTTTCTGCCGGGAGTAATTCCCAAGAAGCAGCGAGGATTGCGCTCTACTTTCTCAGCAGAACACACGTGCTAATCTGCAGCAGCATCTCTGATGCACACCTCCCACAGCGGAGGTTTCTAGCTGCTAAAGCAATGAGAAAAGGTCACGTCCTGCATCTTCAAACCAAATTTCACCCCCCGTTGTCTCCAGAGGAGACCTGATGGTGTTTTTACCGGCAGGAAACCAACTGCAGAGTCAGCTGGTCCTGCCAGGAGCGACACCCTGCCTCGGTGAGCTTTGTCCTCACATTTTCCAGTGACAAGAGAGAACAGCGGTGGGCCACAGTTAAACAGCCACGTGTACCCCGCCGGCCTCTGCTCAGGGCATGACAAAAAAAAAAAAAAAATCCACAAAACGACAGAGGTGCAGGGGACGGAGACGCAGCAACGGCTGCTGAATTCAGGGGAGCCTCAAGCAAGGCAGCCCAAACGCTCCCGACGCCTCTGATGGCACCACCTTCCCCCCGCTACCCCCAGAAACGCTGCAAGTCAGCCCCCGGCTTTGCCTCTTAACTCCCCCATCTCAGATCATTTACATCATGAGATCAATTCACGCTAAAAAAAATATATATATATATAAATTGCATATTAGAAGCCAAGGAAAGATCCCAATTAGCAAACACGAGAGCAGCGCCTGAACAATACATACAAGAGAGACAAGGGGGAATAAATAAATAATTACTTGTGCTTGACGGTCTCCTCTTCGTCGTCTTCTCTGAACTGCTTGTTCTCACGTTCGCCGCTGTCCTTATTCTGAAAGAAGAAGTTGATCTCTCAGGCCTTGGCCTCTCTGGAAACACCGGAGAGCAAACAACAGCCCAGGAACCCTCCCGGAGGGCACAGGGCAAACAAACAGCAAGGCACGCTTTGAAATGACTTTTCAATTACGACATCTTTAAATTAAGCCTGTTTTCCTTTTTCTCCCTTTAGTATTCTGCTTGTACAGATAGCGCGATAAACAGATGTAAGAACGGGCAAGGAAAATTTAATTTTCCTCCCGGAGGCGATCACGCCGCTCAGCGCGGATATCCCCCTTATTACCGGTAACTGCATCAATTCAGAGAGCAAACGGCGAGTTGCGATCAATAACAGAGCTCAGAAACCTCATCCCGCGTTTGAATCACCGCCTCGCGTTCAACGCCAGAGCAAAAGGAGGTCGGGGCGCCGAGCAAAACAGAGGACGCCTTCACCGCGTCGCTGTGGCAGGGACCCGCGGTTAAATCCCGCGCTCCCAGATCCCGAAGAAAGGCTGGATATTACTGCGGTGGTTGAAGGGAACTACGGACAGGCAGAAAGAGATGATAAGAGTTTAGGAAGCGAGGGAAGCCCGCGCTCGGCTGGCTGGCGACGCAGCGGATCACCTGCAAAAGTCCAGGGCGCGCATGTCAGCAGGCTTCGCACAGGTCCCTGTTCCTTCTCCGGAGCGAGAAGGTCATTTCGGACCTTTTAACAGGTTGCAAACCAAGCCAGCAGAAAGCAAACCACCATCAGCACAACAGAGGGTATAATTTCAGCTCCAGAAACACCGTGCAGTAACATAAATCAAATTTCTCTTTAACAGCGTGTTCATTCTGCATCATCCAGACACTGGCACGAACAGCTTATTAGTCAAGTTACCAATTATATTTATTATCCAGACGGGCAGAGATATCAAAAGTTCACAATAATGAGCTGGAAAGGGTTTTGCTCAGTTCTCACGCTTATAAACTGATTTCATTCAACCACTGAAGAAAGTACGCGCCGTGACAAACACATCTGCCCTTATTTTGCAGAGTATATCGTTACAGCAAACGCAATGAATGAACGGCGTCCCTGGAAGCTGTTGCTTTTCGGATTGAACTCCCCCGTCATCCTCCAAATGAAAAGCAAAGCGCGGCAGCTCTAGCAGACGGCAGATTGAGTCTTTATTTCCTTGAGCGCGGCCGGTTCCAGGAGGAGCATTACCCAAGTTACCTGGTAATAAACACACAGCATTTGTAATATCTGGCTACGATTCACGTTGCCGCAAGCGCACGGGGGCCGTTGCGCCAACATTCGTCTCTGCCTTTCAACAGGAACAGCTCAGAAACCAGAGAAATTATTATCAAGGAATGTCCTTTCGTCGCACCGCAAAGGTTACCGGCCCGGTTCACCCAGTTCAAAGAGCTGAAGCCCTCTAGATCGGCCCGTTCAAAGTCTTTTTTCAACCCTGAAACAGGAGCGCATCCCGCTTTGGAAAATTGCAAGGGAAAATTGGTTATAACCAGAACACGACCGACATCACTTTCAGATCAGAAATGACTTTGATTAGTCGCTTGCTCTGTTAAAAGCTTCGCTGGAGAGTTCAGATATCTAATAGCCGACTTCAGGATACCAAAATTATTTACCAGCTAAACTTATTCCTAACCTCGGGAAGGACCAGAGAGGTTTCCCTAGTCGACAGCTTACTTATCACGTGCGTCTTGACTAGACGAACTTTAAAACTCTATTCTGCGACCTGGGTTAAAAATTAGATGACAGGAGGGCGAGCCGGGTAATAGCTCCGTTCTGCTTCAGGCTCATCAGTGACCGAGTTGTTCGGGTTCGGCTCCTGACCAAAGGGCAAGAAAAACGGTCGTGTCTTTTTAGAAAGAAAGACAAAAAAAAAAAAAAAATCCTAAACCCAATATTTGGTTCAGTTTTAACTCCCTGTTTGTGATTTTATTTTTAAGTCCGTAGTAACCTTGTGATATTTGCAGAGACATTTCTTGTTCGATAAAGACCGGGAGCTCGGCTCGCGTGAGCGCGGGCAGCCTGCGTAACCTTCTGGTGGGAGCTTAGGGCTAGGCGGTATTTAGACACCCTTCACTCCACGTTATTTAAAGCCGTGGGAAGTACCTTCTCGCACTCTTAAGTCCCTCCTCATTCCTTTCATCTCTTCATACTTCTAGCGCATGTGCGTAGAGCCTGCATTCCCCTCATTCTTGCTAGAATTTTATCCGGGAGGGTTATAAGCAGGTTCTGAAACCCTAAAGAGCTATTTGGCAAAAATATTCACATCAAGCCGTGGCTGTTCTTCCTACCGCAAGCCTGCGCTCTCTGCAGCGCCGCAAATCTTTCTTTTCCCCATCTGCTGAAATAATTTGATATTGAAATCCTACCACTCTTCTAGAACTTGCCCAAAATCCCCAATTCCAATTTATTCCCCGTTACCACATGGGTATTATCTAAAGTCCTGGTGATATTCCTAGAAAAATCGAGCACACCACCTGCGAATGCAACTTCATGCAACAAGTCCTGTGGTGCCTTCAACCAGGGACTTTTCCGCTGCTACAGCTCGCCTCCTGTGCCTTCTCGGATGGTGCGGAGCGGGCGCACGGCCCTTCGGCAGCGTGAGAACGGGTGCGGGAGTCTCCCTGGGGATGCCCTGAGCTGGAAAGAACGAGATACGGTTCCTCCCATACCTCGGCAGAAGGGAACACGGGATAATGAAGATTGCAGTACAGTTCAAGGAGACGGCGTAACCGCACGTAACCATTTCCAGCCTGCTCATCACCGGCACGAATGCCCTCTAAATTATACTCCCTGCCATCATCCGCCGCTAATCAGGCTCCGACAGACAGATCAGCGCAAGTGGAAGACAACCGAGGTCTGAAATGGATGTCTGAAGTCAGGCTTCCCCCCCTCCGCCCCCAGCGAGAGAAATTAATGCTGGTTCCCTGTTTGCAAAACGGTCTGTAAACAAGATTTCGGTTTCATTAGCAGAGTGACGAAAACCCCCAGCCGCAGGGCAGAGGCGACACGCGGCGAAGAGGCCAGAAACCTCCAGCAGCGTCGGGAACGGCCGCAGCTCTGCAAAGGGGCAGCTCATCGCCGACTCGACAAAAAAAAAAAAAAAAAGGGGGGGGGGATTCCTAAAGCACTATCGGATGGATGCAGCAGAGGAGGATTGCTGCTCCTCTTCCCATGGCTGAGCTTTTTGCTTGCATGTCCAGCCAGGCTGGGCTGCCTTCCCCCGCCACGCTCCCTACCCCCAGCTCACCGCGAGGGCTTCCTGCGCCGCCTTCAAGCGCTTGAATCCACGCGAGCTGAAAAAAGGCAAAGTTATAAAGCGACAGCGGCTTCCTCTAGATGCTGTGCGGAGGGAACCGTCACAGCTTTCTAAATATACATATAAACTGCAGGTGATTTAAAGCGCTTCTCGATGGTTTCACGCTGGAGCAGGCAGCAAGCGGGGTGCACGGCACCCAGCCAGGCTTTGGAGAAGATCCCTCCTCTGCTTTCCATGCTTCCTCACCCAAAATGCTGGGGTTTCCCCGCTGTGTAAGAAAGCTGGACGTTAAGTTACTCCAGCAGAAAGAGGCGATTAAAGTGTCTGCAGCCTTAGAGGCTGGCTGTGCCCAACGGCAGCAGGACACGGAAAGGACGGATTCGGTGCTCGCAGCAGCTTGATCTGTTAGAATCCTTTAATTTAATTTATTGCCCGTTACCACCCTAGTATTTTCTAAAGTCATGGTGGTATTTGGCAAAAAAATTCTGTTAGATCCCCTTAGATCTAACAGATCTTAGATGTTACAGATCATTCCTCCTCCATGAAAACCAGAGACGCTTGGCAATGCCCGTAGCCTCGGCTAGCAACGGAGAAGCATCCCCTGCACTCTCCAGGTAGTTACTCGGAGCATACCCTGAACTTATATTCAAAACTAACGCTTTAGTCTGAACAAATACAGCCAAATCCTTCAGGGAATACCCATCTGAAACCCCTGGGGTATGGACAAAGAGCTGGGGCAGAGCTGAACGACACCGTCCTCATCTGCAGAGGGACTGGGTGCACGCTCAGCCGCTTCAGCGCAAAGGCAGCCGGAGCAGCTCCCGCTGCGTCCCTCAGCGCTGTAAATGACCCTGGCTAAGATACGAAGCCTCCTTCTTCACGTCACCTTGCCTGAGCACAGCTGAGAGACGGTGGTATTGAGAGAGCCATTAATAAGAAGGCAGAAAGGGGGGAAATAACGTTCCCTTGATATTCGGCTTAGTGCAGACGTGGATGACGAAGCGCCCTTGCAAAGAGAAGCACTGGGGGATTGCGGCCACCGCCTCCTTCCCGCCGTGCCCAACCAGCTGGGCAGACACGGGCTGCGGGAACGTGGAGGAGCGTCCCTCTCCAGCCGCTCCCGCCGGTGCGGAACCTGAAACCGCACGCGAGGTACGGAGCCTGCGGGGAGGACGCTGCGCCTCCTCGGGAGCAAAGCGTTGTAGAAAGGCAGATCCCATTACCGTGATCATTTATTGATACGGAGACGGCCTCTCAAACATGCAACTTATCTTACAGCTCCATGTTTTCCCGCTGCCCCATCTCTCTCCTCTTCCTTCTCTGCCCAGACTGGATTTATCTGATCCCTCAGGACTTTGCCACAGCAGCGATGTCTTGGGGTTCTCCGCTTTGCTCCCAATTTTTGTCTAAAGATCTGCCCCTTCATCATCCTCGTCAAGTATTTCTGTTCAACAGCTGTGTCACAGCTTTCGTTTCTTAACTCAGGAAAGAAAGTATTCCTCCCCAAAACAGCGGTTACCCTAATTACCGGTTCGTCCTTCCCTTTGCTTGCTGGTGGTCCCTTCCCACAGGTGCACAGCAGCAACTCAACTCTCACTACTTTTCGGTTCAACTTCATTTTCTCACATTTCAAAGCTTAATGCCACAAAGAGAGCCGAAAATAACCCCTCCGCCGTTCCACTCTCGCTCTAGCGATTCCTCTTTTCAGGGCACCCCGTGGCGAGGTGTTTATTATTAGCTTTAAGTCATGAGATTGGAGACACACACACGAGTCTACAAGACCGTTCATCAACTGCCTGCAAACAAAGTCATTCCCATCCTTCACCCTCTGGAAGGAGACACTCCAAAGATAAACTCCCAACATGAAGAAGCTGGCTCACTTGGGAGTCTCCTACCTATTTTAACTTGCAGACGTCGCAACTGGCAACCCTTGGCTTGTAGCTACCAACCCGAAGACTTTTGCTCCGCGGACACCCACTCTTCACAACGAGGTCTGAGATTAAAGGATTCTGATCCACTGCCTGTTCAGGGTGTAAATCCAAGGAGATTTGCATCAGGTTGTTCAAAGAAGGCCGTCAGCTGCCTCTTTGCAACACCCGAAGGCCCACAGCGAGCTTTACGTGGGATCAGTTGATAGCTTGTGCTTCTAGCTGAACTTATGTGGGGAACTGGATGATGCCTGCAAGGTTCAGAACCTGGGTTCTGCAAACCTGGGATGTAAACCACGTTATTTAGTCAACATTAATTGCGTTAGTTTGCTTTCCTCCTAGCCGGCACCAGGTGGAGAGAAGAACGTATCCGACAGTGCGATATTCAGCGATGGACAGTGACAACTTGGGAAAAACACTTTGTAAGCACGGCCAAGCATTTACACGTAGCGGGAGGGCAGGGAAGACGACGACTTCTGGGTCGTTTCTTGGGAGAGGAGTCCATCTCCCGTCACCACCCACAACCCACAGTCCTGCCAGGCAGAACTTTTACTTGCCTGCTGAAGAACAAGTGCATTTTACCGAGCTCCCATTGCAAAACATCAGGCTCCTCCAGTGTTTTGGGAAAGCACCAGATTTCGTGTTCTGCCACTTCCCGGACTTCAGACAGGTCGTGTCACAACGCAGGAGGTAAGCCTTGGTAATCAGCAGAGAGGAATGCGGTCGCGGAAGGCGTTTCTATCATCTCCTCTCCCGGCGTACAGCCAAACTTTGCATATGAAATTACAAAACATGAGAATTATTTTTCCTCCAAGTGAACTCTCCTACCCATCGTCTGCTTCCCTGCCTGCGGAGCAGGTCTCAGCTACCTGCAAGAAGCGGCTGCTCCGGGGAATACAACGTTTTGAGGAATATGAAGCTTTCCTCTGGGCTTCCGTGCGTTATCATGATTTCTCCTTGCTGGTAGAAGCCCACCCAGCTATTTGGTGAAAGGGGAAGAAGCTCGCTTTGCATCGCATTCAAAGATTTAAGGCCAAAAGGGATGTTTAAATCACCTCACCTGACTTTTAAAATCCTTCTGATCTGGGAAGTCCCAGGCAGCTATCCCTACACTGCAGCAATCCACAGCCGAGGAAAGCATCTTTTCCAAGGAAAGGGAAAGGACACAACCTTGTCCTGAAGGCAGCAGGTGGAGGAGCCACTCCTTTCTTCAGCAGCTTCGCTTAAAGCCCATAGGATGCTAGAGCTTATTTCCAGTTGTTGGCTCCTGCCATCGCTCCCTTCCAAAGAGCATTTTGTACCCGATACGTTGAAAGGGTGCAAACGCTTGTGCACTACGATCGAGGCCGCTTCTCATATCTTTCTGATAAACCACCAGATTAACATGGCGTGCCCTCCCCACCCCCACCCCATCACTGACTTTTTAAGATGTCTCCAAATGCCCACAGCGGACCACATCAACCAGGACAACACGGAGGGGCCACCATCCCTCACCTGATCCACGAGCCCAAGAACCAGCATCCTTCTCAGCACCGCTGGTTTCCCAGAGATGAACCCATTTTACAGATAAGCCCCGTATTTTCCCCACACGGGTGTACAGAGCACACATCCACCTGCCCCGCAACCCCTTTTTGCTCGAAAGGCCTCATACTTACCACAAATTCAGACCTCACCAGCCTTCAGTCAGCTGTCATTAAGCCAGCAGAAAATTTACACATATTTCCAAATGACAAATGGAAAATACTGGGTGCACAGGCCCCAGAAAGCAACGCTCCTGCCAGATGACGACTCCTCGCTTGACAGCTATTAAGCTATCGGTTACCCATTTCAGAGCTGTAATTTTTTAACCAGCGTGTTGTGCAATACTAACCCTTCACTAAATCAAATTTCCATGACAAAAATGACACTCCCTTTTTCTCACTCCGTTTAAAGAACTGCAAATCCAGCTTGTCACCATTCTGCTCCACACCGACGGCAGTCAAACTGGCTTCACCCAAGTTACCCCTCCTGCCTTTATTTTTAAATAGTGGTGGTTTATTAGCACTTTTGCAGTCCTTCGGAATTTATCCAGTATTCAGAAAAGATTTAAATCAACACACAGCAGGCTAACAATCTCTTCGGCTGATTATTTTAGGAGTCCTAGGTGCAAATTACCTACAATTGCTGATTTTAAGTGCTTTTGCTAGATGGCTAATATCCTCTCATCACCGTTGGGCTGGAAAGCAGCTCATGATTCCCATATGACACAAGCATGTCACTTAACTCCTTCCCAAATACACTTTATAAACTGAACCTTGTATTTGTTTCCTTCTCTTCTCTCCACCGTCTTTTAAAAATTTCTGGCTGAAGAATTGCATCCCCCTCTGATCAGGGTTGGCCTTTACCCAAAGTTACAATACCCAAACTGCCTAAATCTTCCGACTTGCATTTCCATTCCTCCCCAGCTTTAGCAGAGCTGCTTTTTTCAAATCCCCCAGGCTACTCAGTTGGTCCCGTGTGCCCGTATTAAATGCAACCCAGCCACGGCCAGCCATCCCCTGGCAACCCCTAAAAGTCAACAAAATGACCCGACAGCTTCTCCCCTTCCCAGGAACTAATACCGACTTATTTTCCTTGGGGATTGACCAGAATACTAAAGATCTCCTTATCTTTCATTTAAGGCTTAGAGGATGGTCACGTTACCAATCAAGTGCTTCTTTGGCACAAATAACTGTCTCTTTTTGGGGAGTTAAAAAGAGGTCAGTGCTGGAACAAAGCAAGTTTGATCTCTCGAGCTATTCTCTGCCAGCCAAGCTGTAGCTGCTCCTATTCCCACTTATTGGCCGCCGAGAGCCAGCCCCGGCAAAGTGCTGGCGTTCGAATCAGCAAGAGCAGCCCATAAAACAGCCCGTCCTCGTATCTCTGACAACTGGGAAGCTCCCAGGTCATATAGGTTGATTTTCTGCACAAATTGGTATTGTGCATTGGGCAGACAACTTCATCCAGGTAACGAGCGTTCGTCTCGTTTGGTGGTTACGTTCACCGTTTTCTTTGGTATTTCTTCGTGCTGAAGCATACGTGGCGGTCAGGTCAGCTACGAGGTGAGGACGGAGTTGCGGTGCCTTGGTGCGAGCATGGCACGTACTCGTACGTCTTGCTTCCCGCTTGGCCAAGATTTAAGCTTAGATGTCCTTGAAGCCCGGCAAGGCACCGCGGTGCAGCCCTGCTCTCGCCTCACCGCTCTTTCCAGACGTTTAATGCCAGAATGCAAAAAAGCGAAGTCATGAAACGTCACCGCGTAGCTAAAGGTTTCAATAAAGCATGTTTTCAAACCAAGAGAGTTTCAATTCGCTAGGTAGTCAAGGATCTCATGATAAAATTTTACAGCATAAAGTTCTGAACATAAAAACGTCATTAAAGTATCCTCAGTAGCAGAGATCCACCCATATTTTTCAAAAGCTGTTTGGAATCCATTTGCTCACAGCAACCCTGGTGGTAACTCGATAAAAACATGATTTTTAAGAGCCGGAGCTTCTGTGTCCCTGCTGCTTGTTCCTTATCGAAGCCCTAATCCCGGTTCAGTCCTAGCCGGTTACTATGGAAATGGTTAAATCGGAGCCCGAACAGCGCGACTTCCCCGAAGAAACAAACACAAGGAGCAAAACATTTAAAAACTGAAATTTAATTAAAATTAAACTCATTAAATTGAAAATTAAACACCTCGGTTTATGTCCGTGCCTCCAAAATAAAACCTCACATTTCCAAAAGGAAAGGTATTTTTGATGCTAACTTTTTTTTAATAATTGTGTTGTTTATATAGTAAAGAAGCACAAATATTTCTTCCCTTCAAATAACACAGAATGACTCCTAAGTGGCTGTGCTTTGCTGGTTTAAACATTCCTATTATCACGATTTCAGAACCTGCGTGTTTGCGTCGCAAACACTGCTGTTAAACAGCAGAGACTGGCGAAGGTTTCTGGCACAAGCTGCCGTCCCCCGGTGAAATCGGCGGCACAGACATTCCCCCGAGGTCACAACCACCAACTTTTTGTTGAAGAAACCGCGTACGTGAAAACACCCGAGTTTCAATGAGACGCAGCAAGTTTGAGGGGGAAGAAGTAGGCACTTGTGAGTAGAAAGAACAAGACATTTCAACGCCAGAACACTTTTTCAGGCAACAAAGAGCTGGAAAAGCCATGAATAAGCTTCTCCATCCCTATACAGTAGAAACATCACTCATTCCTTTCCACGTAGGACATTGTCAAAGCAAAATCTAAGCTATGCAGAACAAGAGCACTGGGGGAAGCTGGCTGAACCCCTGGACACGTGTAGTCTACCGGTTCCCTCTGATAGCTTTGCCCAACAGACTAACAAAGAACACTGTTTCATGCCAAATTTCGTTGGCATCACTTATTTCGGACAAATTCTTACCATTCTTCTCCAGACCCTGAATAAGTTTAAGATTACATTTCATCTTCCATCATCACCCCAGGATTTTTCACGACACTGATCCCATCAGGTCACTGCAGCTCGCATCAGCGCAAAGTGCTGCTCCAGCGTCGTTACCGATTTTGTTAACGATGGACGCGTGAGCGCGTTGGTGTCGCTCAGATTAGGTGGTTATTAGAACACTCCTGATGGTTGTTAGAGGTGCTCTGCCACTGCCCTCAAACCTGGTGCCTATGACAAGTCCTCTCCCAGTCCCCGTGCCGAGCAGCTCCAGTCATCCTCCCTATTAATGCAAAATATTCGCATGAACTTGCCTTCACGTGAACTTGCCCTCCACAGCGAAGCCACGGCACGCTGCTAAGAAATACCGCCACAACGCTTCGGTGGAAAGGCTCGCACGTTGAGGGAGAAAGGATGGAGCTGCCGATTTCCAAAGCATCAAATAATTAACATTGGAGAGGTAAAGCGGTGCTTTTCCAAGGTCTAACATCGCTTCTCCAAAGGAAATATCCACAACCAGAGCCACTGCCTTAACTGGAGCAAATGCCCATTAGGGACTACTTAACTCCTGGTCTGCAAAGATGGAGGAGGACCATCCGTCCCTGAAATGGCAGGGCAAATGTGTTCAGTTTTGGGCCCCTCACTACAAGAAGGACATCGAGGTGCTGGAGCATGGCCAGAGCAGGGCAACGAAGCTGGTGAAGGGTCTGGAGCCCAAGGCTTATGAGGAGCGGCTGAGGGAGCTGGGGGTGCTCAGCCTGGAGAAGAGGAGGCTGAGGGGAGCCCTCATCACTCTCTGCAACTGCCTGAAAGGAGGCTGGAGCCGGGGGGGTCGGTCTCTTCTCCCCAGGAACAAGCGATGGGACGAGAGGGAACGGCCTCAAGCTGCGCCAGGGCAGGTTTGGGTTGGATATTGGGAAAAACTTCTTCACCGAAATGGTGGTCAAGCATTGGAACAGGCTGCCCGAGGAAGTGGTTGAGTCTCCATCCCTGGAGGTATTTAAAGAATGAATAGATGTGGTGCTCGAGGACATGGGATAGATGGACTTGGCAGTGATAGGTTAACGGTTGGACTTGATGATCTTAAGGGTCTTTTCCAACCTTAACGATTCTATGATTCTATGATTCTACTCTAAATGCGTTTGAAGATGATGGGCAATAAAGCATCGCTCCCTAACCCCCACTAATACGAGTACCGGTACCAGCGATGGGAAGTTTTATGGGGTTTGTAGGCTGCGTTCAGAGCCCTGACACATTTGAGAAGATACAGCCGGCCCTTCAGAAAACGCGGTGCTGGCAGAGGCAGAGCAGGCCATCACTGCTTGTTCTACCAACGACAAAACAACCTGATTTGAATTTGACAGGTTAATGTGCTTGCAAGAGTCATCCCACCCTCCAGTAAAAGCTGTTGATTTACAGGACACAACACGCAGGAATCAGCTGAATCCCTACCAAAAAAGGGGTTTTAACTCAAGAATTAATTCTGTTTGTGCCAGAGAAACAGCATGCCTGTTTTAATCCCCATCCCATCTTCTTTACTAAGTCACATAATTCCTTTCTACTACCCAAGAAAAAGAAAATAACTTTCAAAAACCACCTGTTAGTCATATTTAAGCCAAGAATCCACCACTGCCTTTAGCTGATGGGGACAAGGTTCCAGTTATCTTCTTGTTCTCCTCTGGGGTGGGAAGGAAGAAAGGGCCAGGCCGGCTTGGTTGGATTTTAGAGGCATTTTGGCGAGTTAATGTGTCACCTCCATTGCTCTTGGCTAAAAGCAGAAACAAAACCAGATGCTACACACGGGCAGTTTCATTTCTGCAAGGGAGGGGGGAAAAAAAATAAAAAGAAAAAAAAAAATGAGAGAGGAACTACAACCAGGTTTGTGCTTATGCACCGAGACCTTGCTGAAACGTTAAAGCTTTGCTGTAGCCAAGGAGCTCCACGCATGAATCCTCCCAATCCCGTATTTATATTAAAAAAAAAAAAAAAAAGTTAGACAAACTACCCAGAGTTTCACAAATGTAAATCACAGCTTCGCACCCGCTAATTAAGCGGTGCCACTTGGGCGCAAGACAAACCTAACTCCGCATTTTCGGAGCTGATGATTAACCTATTTTCTGGAGGTCTCTTTTTTTACCCCTTCATAAATTAAACAAGCCCGTTGAAAAGCAACGCCAGCCGGCCGTGCAGCGAGCCGGCCGCCGCTCCCCAGCTACCCTGCCATGGATTTTCCCTTTGCTTTTTTGCACTTGACTTTCCTCTCCCAGGCAGAAAGATGCTGGTGAAACCTGCTCGCTGATGGAGATCGCCAGGACCATCCCATCTTCATGAGTATTGTAAATTATTTGCTTGGAGGCTACGAGGGATCTAAACTTTGAGAGAAAATTCCTCTATAACTAACAGCAACCTTATGCTCGTGTAGCGAAAGGACGGCCCGGCAACACACAGCCACTCATTCAGGCTTTTTATGACTCACGTTATTTCAGCAATGAGATTTTAATTTCCCCATCCGTGAAATTGGGATGGTTCAGAACCACCCGAGAGGGATGCCAGGAGGCTAAACGAACACACAGGCTTGGCAAATAACTCAACAATTTCATAGATGGTGCAACCCAGGTATTTACAATCCAGCACCGAAGTAATTGGGCGTCGCGGGGAGACACGGTGTTAATAACTGCAGTTTCTCTCTTCTGTGATTCAGACAAGGTCACGGCCACGGGGGACTCTCAAGACACCAAACCGGCCAAGGACAAAACGCTTAATTGAAAAACAAAATAGCTCCTGGCAGAAATACGGACACAAAAGCCTCCTTTGAGCCTTTCCTTCCCCGCAGGCTGCAATCCTCCACCCGGCTGCGGGGGATGGCAGGAGAGGGGCAGCACCCACTTCAGGTTTGGGTTGAAAATTCAGTTCAGGGCCTCGTGTTTTTTGGATAAGGAACAAATATTTTCACTCAAACTTCATATCTTTAGTTCATCAAACCGGGCAATAACCAAGGTCTCTGCCCAGTGCTGGGACCCCCAAGTCCTGACCTGCCTCAGACTTCTTTTACAGCAGAACAGCGCAATATTCACTTTTGCAATATGGAAGAAGACAGAGTAAAGTGCTCAAAAGCTGAGCTTTGCATTATTTTTGTCAAAAAGCACAAAATACAAGTGGTCCCCTATATTGGTGTGTCTGTTTTGTTTTTTTTTTTAAAGAGTCTGACCACCTTTAGAAACGTTTAATCGTTCAGACAGCACGTGAGATGCTGAAACTCCTCCAGTATCGCTGCAGCACACCCAACACCTCAGCCGATGGTGCCAGCAGCAAACACGGCCTCGAGCAAACAGCATGGAAATTTAGCAGAACTATCCAACATGGAAAACGGGCAAAACAAATAGACAGCTAACGGGAGAGAGCGTTACGGGCTCTTCAACAAGAGGTCAGCAAGAACCTCGGCTACTTGGAAAACCGCCTAGAGAAAGGCTGAATTCCCCAGCGCCGCAGGGGGAGCTGCTGCGGGTACCTCCA